ATGAAGTGAATTTGAGTAATCCGCATGACGCAGAGAGAACAAGCAAACTCCTTACAAGAAAAATAAACACATTGTCCTTTCCTTTACACTTGCTTATATTGCGTAACCTCTCTGATGCCATTGAATATGTCATTGTGTCTGATATGTTTGAACCTCATGCCAGTGGAATGCATGGCGACAGCAGTATCATGACTCCCCTATTTGTTTGTCATCTACCCTCGCATTCCCCCGTCCCCCGTCGCCCGCGGCAACTCCACCCGGAAGTGTCCCCCGTGATAAGATGCACCCCTGTCCCCCCTGACTGACCGTGTCCCTCTGTTTCTTGTCTCGAGGAAACCAGACCAGGAAAAGACAGTTCCCCCAACAGGACAAATATTTGCTCTAGATTTTCTTTTTTCTTTTTTTTTTCAACACAAAAACTTGGGCAGATTCCAGCGCTCCTGTGCTCTGATATGGTTGTGGTATTTCCCCTGCAAAGCCTTTAAACCTTTATCATTGTAAGAGCGCACACATAGGCCAGCCTGCTTTTTCCTCTCCTTGTTTTGGTGTCTCTATCATGCTGTTTTCCATCAGACGGTATAAAGTCGCATTCTTCGAAGTTTCCTCGGTGACCTAAACAATTGAGAACTTCCTGTTTTGAATATGGGCTTTTATTGAAGAGCCTTATAAGGAAATATAAACCTATAAATCAAACATTTTGCATAGTTAAAACTGCTATCAGCCGTTATTTTTGTGGAAGGTGTGCCATGTGATTGTCTCCATGGTTATTAATGTTACCGCTTTGCCAAGAATGTTCTACACTATGGCATTAACCTTATCTATCACACAAAGGTGTTTTTATTACTATAAATATATCTTTAAAAGCATGCATTCTTACAGTGAGCAGGCTTCTCTTGCCACAGATAACTTGTAACTTGGCCTGACGGCGTCTTTTGTCTCGATAGATATGACTGTGCAAACCTGTGCAAGTAACAATATCTCCATGGAGACAAGCAGGTGGCAGACCCTCACCAGAAAAGTTACATGTTATTAATTTCCCTTTTTAAATAGATTCTAAAATGATTTCATTCTGGATAGAGCTGCAAGATTATTAGCAACTGAACACAAATCCCACTTAAATCAAAATTGCTGCTGTCACATGTGAGATAAATGTTTCCATCCCAGTATTAACTACAGGGGGCGCTGGAGAGCAGGAAAAGATGGAAGTCTAATTCACATATCATTATTTCCAGAATCCACTCACAGTAAGAATGCATTTTTTCCAAGCTATTTTGAGCAATTACAACCCCTGGAACAAAAGCAAGATCGATATGTTTTATGCCACAGACATGTCAAACTCAGGCCCGGGGACCAAATTTGGCCCATGATATAATTATATTTGGTCTGCGAGATCATATCAAATATGTATTAGAGCTGACCCACTGGCTAGAGATAGACTATATAGAGACATTATTTATTTAAAATGTTGTTATTATTTTATATTATGCTTGTTCTGGATACAATGTTTAAGCAAAACTATTATAGAAAGAAAAGGTTTAACATTACATATACTGAAAGAAGAGAAAACATACAAATGTTGTTGAAATTTTTCAGTAAATATTTACAGTTTTTTACGGGTTATTAGGCGCTCTGGATTATAAAACGCACTGTCATTAAATGGTCTATTTTCAAACTTTTTTCACAAATAAACTGCACCAGACTTTAAACGAAATACAACAGAGATGGGTCAGTTGGACTTTGTTTGTGGCGTTCACGGTGACTCTTGGCTTTGTTCAGTTGTGGCGTGTAGGGAGGGTGCTGTTTGGGACCGCTGGATTGTTGGCGTGTTCGCAGTGACTCAGTTGTTCAGCTGTGGCTCAGATAGGCACATTGGACTCGCTTTTTTGAGTTTGTTACTCCATTCCATTCCTCGTCCGCGTGGAGTGATGAGTGTGGCTGTGGGTGTTTTTCGCTGTGCGGTTGCTGTCTGCTCCATGCGTGTTTGCGTGCACTGCGGGTAGTGCAGCTTTGTAGTTTACTGAAGTCATGCTGGGACACCCGAGTTAATTCGTGTAAGGGGCGCTCTGGCTTGTGGGCACGCGGGGTCAGAGGCTTAAGAGCACGTCTAATAGCCCGGAAAATACGATAGTTTGGCCCACGACTTAGTTCCAGTTTTTAATTTTGGCCCTCTGTGAATCTGAGTTTGACACCCCTTATATAGAACATTCCAGGCAAAGTTATTTCATTTCTATAGAGACAAGCAGGTGGCTGACTCTCCACCAGAAAAGTTACACAGTCCATCTTTAACTATGCATCCTTAAACACTATAATTTGAATATAGCCCTGTTCTGACCCATTTTCTTTTTGTTTATTACATCAGTATTTTTACCCTCATACAACCAGTGGTGGAACATAAACAAAGTAAAAGCAGTTAAGTAGTGTACTTAAAGGTGCATTGTGTAACTTCTGACAAATGTTTTTCTCCATGGAGATGTTATTGCTTTGTCTGGAATGTTTCACAATATATTAATAAATCTTTCTATCTTCATGGAGCCCAAGCCAAACCAAATTACTTATCAGATCTAGGGAGAGGCGAAACTGCTCACAGTCAGAATGCCTGTTTGTTTAGGCATTTTTTGAACTATAAAACCACTTGCAATTGAATAAATGTAAGACAGAGCTGTGTAATGTCAAACATTTCAGGCACAGCAATGACATCTATAGAAACAAGCAGGTGACGGACCCCCCAACCAAAAAGTTACACAGTCTTCAATCTTTAAGTATGTTTTAGGTATCTGTACTTTACTTATCTGTACTTTCTACTCTACTGCATTTTTTTTTGAAAAGGCTGAAGGTTTGTTTTTGAGATGTTTGTAGTTTGCACAAATAAAAATCATCAAAAACTGCTACGAAAATAAATTACTCACAAAATCACTATCTTTGAAGAAAATCTGCACAAAATAATACTTTAATACTTTAATGTTTTTCATGTGATACTTTTACTTGAGTTTAAATTGAGTACTTCTTCCACCTCTGGACATAAGTGACACAATCTCTTAGCTTTTCCAACATGAGCTTGTGTCCAGTGATAGCAGCGGAGCGTGGAAGTGTGTGGGCTGACAGTGCAGTGACCTCAACTTCCTGCGGGGGGTGCTGACAGATAGACTGACACCAAAATGACGCCAACATTGGAAACAAATTAGCTTCTATAGCTTGACTTGAACCCATGTGTTGTCAGTTTTACAGTGAAATAGGTTATCTCTCTGTGAGGGTAGAACAAAAGTGACGTGGTAGGAAAAATGTCACGGGAATTATGTGTGAATGTGAAATTATGTAAACAGAAATTAATGATGCACAGATCAATAATTTGTAACACTTTATTTTAGGGACCACATATTCAACTATTTTCTGATCTGTGTTATAATGTTATTTCCATATCAAAAACATATCAAAATAAAATCTGCATAGTTTTTCTCTCAGACTGAAAACACTCTCCACCTTGTGATGTCATGTGGTAATACAGGAAGTGCTCCACTGTGTTTTTAAGCTCCATACACCATCACTAGAATCATTTGGATAGTTTTAGCTCTGGAATTGACTTACTTAACAAAAGGTAAAGGGTTGCTGTTAACTTGAAAACTACTTCGCTGCTTCACGACACAGAAGAGAACATTTTAAGGTTTGCAGATGTAGACAGCGTCATAATCCAGGACCACTCAAACTTGTATGAATGAAACAAAACACAACTCCAGGTATGTTTTCGAGGAGGTAACAACAACAGGGCTTAAAGCTCACAAGAATGCATTCAGACCAGAGAGGAATTTTGCTGTCACAGTAAAGCTAAAAACAACTAGCATGCTAATGTGTACTTATATTGTACTTATACTTATATCGTACTTATATGCATACTTATAATTAGATGCAGATTTTCTTTGAGCTCAAGAGCTGCTTGTACAACAATCTGTAGTGGGGAACAGAAGCATAATAAGTAGTTCATTATTAATCTGTATGACTGTACAACATTCCACCCCCATGGAAACTATTTAAAGTGTATTTAAGTTCATGTCTGTCTGTGCAGTGAGGGAAGTGCTTTGGGGTGGTCATTTATATTCTATTGTTGTGTCCTTGGGCAAGGCACATTGTCCGTTGCAGTCTCTGTGGTTTGGACCATTAAATGTGAATCAGGGAAAGACTTTGAACTGTTTTTATTACTTTTTTTCTCATAATTACTCATAAAATGTATTAATTTATAGCAATAAACCTAGAATGGGAAATTGTTTTTATGAAAAATGTTATTTTTATTTCATGTATTCATTTCTTGCGTGAATGATCATCTTTCATACTTGTAACATGCTGACATTCCTACTCTTACTGAAACAGTATTCACAAAATGTCAGCATGTGGAGTGTCTGGGAAATGCCTTTTGTGTTAATAAATGACTCAATGTTATGAAGCACGAATCTCTGTGGAATGGCACGACTTTTCCTTATAAGGACCACTCTCAGGAAACGAAAAATCTTCTGTATTGTTTTCTTTGAATGAACACTAATAATAGCCAATAATTGTTCTTAAACATTTTTAATATTAGTAAGTTGCATTTTTAATTAGAGGAAAGGCTCTTTATTTGCAATTTAAAGATGCACCGTGTGGCTAACCTGTCTGATATTGCTTTGTCTGGAACATTTTCAGAGCAGGCGATGCTGGTCCACCCCAGTGCAACTTTAAATGTGGTTTTATTTCTTCAACCTGTTACAATCATTTTACTAAATTTAGAAGGAATTTGCGTGGAATCCCATCTTTCTCTCTGGACACAGCTGAGGTCCATACCATAGTGCTGACTCACCCAATGCACTGTTCCTGCCTGTAGGGGGCATTGTTCTTGATCTCTGTATCCTCCAGGTGCAGTATTTGTTATTGTGTAATCGCCTCTGTGGGAGGGAGGGCCCCACGCGGTGATGTCAGCTCAGGACCGGGCTATAAGAACTGCTCTGCGCTCAGACAACAACACAAAGCACCTGTCCCTACACTATACTCACATCCTCGGAAGGATAGAACTCATTTTGGAGACTTTCTTGCATTAAATATTTAGTAATAATTTTTTTTTAAGCTATAGACAAATTTGAAGAAGATGGCTCATTTAATCTGCCTGACAATGGCTGTGATCATCATTGTGATTCTGCATGAAGGTGAGTTATTAAATGTATTTATTTAGCTAAATTTTTGTTTTAAAAATGTGAATTTATCTTGATTTTCAATTTTATTTCTATTCTAATTATTGGTATGTTTATTGCATGTTATTTCCACTGGGTGAAAAAAAAAAGAATTGGAAAGGCAGTAAATGACCAATTACCTTGCATTGTAACTACATGCACAAATAAATTAAAAACAAATCAACAAACCAACAAACCAAAAAAATAAAACAAAACAACTTCCAATAGTCTGGTTAAGTGAAATTCCCAAATGTATAACTTAAACGGAAACAAAATGGTAATTCTAATCATTTATACATTTGATAAAACACAAAATGCATGAAAGAATAATATTATTATTAGTAATATGTTCACAATTGTGACAAAGTTAGCAGGTTGCATAATGTTAACAGTTTGGTACAGGCCCCTTTAACATATCTGACATTGTTCACCTGCATCAGTTCTGACCTCCTTGTTATTAAATATTGCTGATCTATAAAAGGTATGTTTACTTTTAATGAATCATACAGTCTGTATTACTGCCTAATCGCTTCTATCAAAATAATGTTGAGCAAGTTTCCCACATTAATCAAGACCTCAGCCTACTATTACACTTGCATTGTGGAACAACATTGATTAGAATCTCCACCCGATGGTTAGCTTATGTTTTTGGAATCCTTTTAATAATACTTTCATATAGACATGTCATAGCATGCAATAAAAAAAAAAAAAGAGGATGTTATAATCATTCAATTGTTAATCGCTATGGCAACAGTCCTTCTCATCAGTCTGAAGGCCATTAGTAGAGCTGGCAGTTCATCGATCAATAAAACTATATTTAAAAGTTTCACATAAAAGATTCAGATTCATAAATACATAATCAGACATTTTACATATTTGCAAGGATAATTAAATACGCTCTTTAACCATGACATTTTTATGTGTTGTACAGGTTATGGAAAGCCCTTATCCAGCCCTAGTCCCTCCTCCTCTCTGGGTCAAATGCAGCCCCATGTGCGGGTCAAGCGCTGCTCCTGTAACAGCTGGGAGGATAGGGAGTGCATATACTTCTGCCACCTGGACATTATCTGGGTCAACACGCCAAGGTGAGTACGCCTCTCCACACCTGAGGGTATACAGCAGCAGTGTGTTTGGTCTGCAAGGGAAGGAATGTCAAGTATGTGCAAGGAAACTAGGTAACGCTTTTAATAGCCACAGTATCTAACTTTTTTCTCTGTTTTGTTGTTTTAATTACACTGAAAAACATGCTTCCTTATTCTGAGCTGGCTTGCATCTTCACAAAATCTGAAATAGGCTGAAATAGGCTGCTTGTCTCCATGGAAATGTTGTTCCTTTGGCTATAATCTTCCACAGTGCGTCATAAAACAGTCCAAAGTATGGTTTTAACTTTTTATTTCCATGGAGTCCTGCAGATGATATTGCCTCCTCCATAAAGTTGCATACTGTACCTTTAATAAAACACAAACAAATAGTTTATTAAGAATGACACAGGTAGGTTTAGTAACTGTACTTAAGTAATGCCGATCTGTGAACGACACCAGAATATTTGGTGTCATGAAATCATCCATCCATTCATTTTCTTCTACTTTATCTGAAATCAGTATAGCATTTAGAAGTCTGCAATACACTGGAACCAGCAACTATAATCTTAACCTTCAATCAACATTTTTTTCTCAATAACGAACTCTAAATCTGTTTATTTAAATGACTGTATAACTAAATCTGCAGTACCTTCTTTCCTTCTGCACTTGATAACAATCTGGACAGGAGGATATCTCAGACAATCACTCCAGACAATCACCTTTATTCTAACATTTCCTCTTCCTTTTCACAGTAAGCTCCTGCCTTACGGTTTGGGCAGTCCCACGTCTCGCCGTCGCCGCTCGCCCCAACGCTGCCAGTGCGCCGATCCCGGTGACTCCACATGCTCCGCCTTCTGCCACAACAGGTTGGTACTTCCTCCTCTGTACATGTAGTAATACCATCATGAAAGTATCTTCTGCATAGCTATCATTCCACTGGCAGCCACCCGTGTCTGTACGATGCCATGTTTATGTAGACGTAGTGATCTAAATGATGGTGAAGTTGATAGTAGTTATAGGGGGCATAGTCATTTTACAGGTAATGGCCCGTATTTCTTTTACAGTGTATATAACAGACTAAACAATTTACTTTTACATTTGAAAGTCAGATACCAGTCTAAAACTAGTATCGAAACTAGATACTTTGAGCAGTGATCAATACTATTATTAATACCATTCCTGAATAGCTTTTGAATGATCTTGAGCTGTACAAATAGAAGAACAAGACCACTTTGACTAGTATACACTCGTAGACCACTATAGAATCTACCTAGACACTGAGGAATTACAGAGATATAAGACCACATGGTAATATAAAAAAGAAAGTACTATGACTTAATGTTGAAAATTACATTTTATAGTCTGAATAAAGAGCAATTTTTATTATCATAGTGGTATCAGTTTGTATTCAGTATCAGGTATATTCTTTGGTATCGAAATTGAGTTAATTTGGAGTGAATTTTAGTAAAACATAAAAAAAAAAGTTAATATAAGATCATATTCAAAATGTTACCTTGTTTGCTCAAATTTTACTTCCTGCATGAACATGGGCTGCAGATATGACTTACGGCCCACTTAAACATAATTTGATAACCTAACAGTTAGCGAGCAAATATAATTTTATCAAGGGCCAAAACTTGTCCAGTTGCACAATAGTTATGTTTAGACCAATAAAAATAAATAACAACACCTTTATTTTGTTAAATAAAGGTTTAAACTACCTGAAAAAATGACCATGCATTTTCTTACCCACCAAATTAACTCATAATTAGAGAAACATGAAAATATTTCAAGTCATATTGCTATTTTTGACAGTTGGATGCTTGAACATAGCGTCTACTGTAATAGCATGAATCAGTTGCAGTCTAGATGTTATCAAGGCGATGCCTGCATTCCTTTCTATTTATTTTTGTTTAGAGATTCTCAATAAATAACGTAAGCCACAATAGCGTAATCCGTTAAAACATTTTGTAATTCTGTTTTTCCATCCGCAGATCAGAAAACGCCCAAACAGACTCAACCAAGACACGTCAAGAATCTACAAGGTTATCAAGGAGCAAGCTACTGCAATCTCTCAGGTAAGGGCACGTTCTAGCTCCAGATCACGTACACAGTTTTGACCAAACAAAGAAGTCCAAGTACTGTTTTTATTTATTTTTTTAAATTAAGTGCCCTAAATTCCTACCAGTGTTCAATACCCTTTCATTAACAGAACACATCTGATCATTTGATTTTGTTTGTTGGTCTATTACTCTGGCTGATGTATCTCAATTGTGTACAAAATATAAATTAAATATATAAAATTTCATCTGCAATATTTTTCTGCATTTCAAGTTTCACTATTTAACTTTTCTGATGCCTTCTTCTCCATGGAGATGTTATGGCTTTGCTTAGAATGTTACAGCATGGCATTAGACTGTCTTAAATAAATATGCATTACCAAAAGCAGGGTCGCCTCTCCACAGATCTGACCTGTCACTTGGTTGCGTTACATTTTGTCTCTATGGAGAGTTAAATGCCATGATGTGGAACATTTTAGGAGACAATCAGATGGCCAACACTACAAGAAAAAGTTACATGGTTCAATCCATTTTCTTTTCGTTATTTTTTTTTTATTTATTTTATTATTTTTTTAACTATGAAGGCTTATGTGTCTTACCTCTCAATGTAATTTCTTTCCAACAGATCCGTGGTCAAGTCCAACTCAAAGAAGCTAGCATCCAAACAGCACCAAACCAAGATCCAACTGCTACAAAGCTCAACAATAAGATAGAGGACACGATACTTTGGGACACGATTCATGGAGTAAAATCCTCATATTTGGACCACAACGTTTTTGTAACAAAGTGGATCTAAATGAAGAACCCCCAGGCCCAAAGCTCCAGGAGAGAAGGTCCAAGGAACAGGCCAAGAGCAGTGGAGATGACAGCCATTTTGAGAACATTTCATGGAACTATTTTAAAGTGAGGAAGCCATCACTAACTTCTACTATGGACTTGTGTCTATGGATGTCTATGGAACATTTTCTTTTGATATTAATTCATTTTGTATGGACACTAAATAGTAGTCTTCACAATGTTTGTACAATTTATATACAGTGTTAACAGTTCATCTGAAGCGGAATTATCTAGGATCAGCAGTGGCACAGTGGGTTGAGTGTATTCTCAGCAACCACATAGTTGCCGGTTCAGACCTCTACTGTGCTCACTCCAGTCACAGCATGTGTGGCTGGTTGAAACAGGGCATCAAGTATAAAAAGCTATAAATCAATCAATATAGCATTAAAATACACATGCCACAACACACAGCCATAGTTGTGTTCACATAAGACACTCAGTTGTATGGGTTGAATATTCCTCTGTATCAGAGTGCATTGTTCTGCTTAATATTTGGGCTTGTCTATATCAGGTCGTTCTTGAAAATGGCAGCTTTTTTTCAGAATAGTGCCTTTTTTTTTTTTTTTTTTTTTTTTTTTTTAATACATTTGTATAACATTTTCTCCATGTCCATTCTCCCTCTGTATCGGTAAAATTCCAGCTCCTGTAGTCCATTGTATTGGGCTTGTTTGTTAGCACTGCTGCTGTTTTGGTTGAAGATAAGCCAGCAGGTTGGAATGAACCATAAAACACAATGGTATCTTAATTCCTCAGTAATTATCCACGTGACATGAAGACTGTGTCCATCTGCCCCAAAGGACTAAAAACAGGAAATGGAAGCCCACATTCCTCCTCTGATCCCAGTATTTTAGATGAATAGGTCGCTGTTGAAAGCAAAGACTGTACATAGACTGCATTATTTATTGCCTTAACTTATTATAGAGTATATTTATAACTGTATGAATGTGGCACTGATGTGTGTATATGGAAATAAAACATAAGTGAATGAAAACAGTTTTTGACTTGTTGTATTATGTTGATCAGGCAATTTATTAGTCTGTCCAGTTGGACAATTACACAGTTCTAAAAAATCCACACGTTTTCTTATGTTGTTTAAGATTATTTATATTCATTTGTGAGGTGAATTGTATTTGGCCCAACAGTGGCTCAGGGCTTAGAGCAGTGGACTCCCAACCCCAAAGGTTGGAGAATAGATTCCCTCTCAAGCCAAGTTCTGTCAGTGTGTCCTTATGCAAGTCACTTCACCCACATAGCCCAGTATGAATATAGTGTGTGCATGAGTGTTGGTGGTAGTGGCGCAGATTGGCAGCCTCGTTAACATGTTACGGGTATAAGGCAGTATTATTATTAATTTCTATTCCATATTTTATTTAGTCTATTTATTTCTAGTTTATTATTTTATACTCTTTGCATAATTTTTTGTGGTTCATGTGGTTTACTCACTGGACATTCTGAATAGAGAATAATTTATTTACATATCAACAACCGGACACTGTTGTACGTCTATATGTGATATGAAATGTGCTCTATAAGAAAAGCAAATCTGGATTGAATTCTAAAATGAACAAATAAAAATAGTAGTTTAAGTCAAACCTGATTGAATCCATGGTCAGGTCTGTGTGTTGTGAGCGGTTGTTGTGCAGGAGCTGGGGTCAGCATGTCCTCTCCATGTTTGTATAAGATACAGAGCAGAGCTGAGCCAGGGTTATGAACAAGGATGTTAGTGACCTCCACATCTACAGGACACTACTGTCAGAGGTGACCCAGTGAGCACAAAAACTGATGGACAGTTGCACTAGAACCGTTTGTGATAGAATCATTATTCTAACTTTTACTGAAATGAAAGTTAAGGCTTGACTCACTGGGTAAAAATGAATTGGAATTTGATCCCTGTGGTGATATACTATTTTGGGCCATGGTACGTGATTCAATGCTCGTCTAGTAATGCAACAATTCAAACATACACTGCCACCACTCCTCCTATTAATGAGTTTTTGTCATTCCCTTTAGCTTCCCTTAAAAATGTGCATACATTATTACTATTTTTTTATGTGCTATATTGTTATTTTTCTTGACACATTAGGTAATCTAAAGACCTCTATCACCACCGAGTCACTCTATCTCGTGCAGGGAATGTGGCTATATGCAATGTTAGTACAAGGAATGGAACTACCAACCATCTGGTCCTATATTATGCTAAATTGACTCTTGTGAGCTTTAAGCCATGTGAGAATGTTGTTAAATCATCAAAAATGCACCTACTGTGTTTGTGTTTTGTTTCATTCACACATGTTTGAGTAATCCTGGTTTATTTCCAGATCTCAAATGTTCTCTTTCATCTTGTGTTTTCAAGTTAACAGCTACCTTTCGCCTTTTGTCCAGTACAGATTGGAAATTACAGGTCTGAAATTTCCCAAGCCCTTCCTGTATTGCCACATGACATCACAAAGTGGAACAGAGCGAAACAACATTATAACAAAGATACGAACATAACGCAAAAGAAAATATTGCTTGCATTTGACCCATCTTTCAATAATGTGCAATGTGCAATTAATACCCCATAGAAATGAAAAGAACGGCCCCTCTTTAAGTGACCAATATAGGTCATGTCATAAAAATGTCTGCCATCTCTTCTTCTTTCCCCTTCACTGCTCCGACCCTGACGTCAGCGCAGTGTCTCCGCTGTGGCCGTAGTGTGAATGCTGACTCAGAGCGTGGAATGAAAACAGGATGCTTTTGGACATTCCTCTCACATTCTTACAGCGCCGGCCGGAGGAACAGAGAAAGAAAAACGTCTGATATATGCGCCGCACAGATTGCCTCTTTAATCAGCACGTTGCCATAACACGCTCATTGTTTTAGTTCTCCTCCGATAAAGAGACTGTTTTTCTCCCAGTGCACATGCAGGCTGATGGTAAACTGTGATAGTCAGGTCGTTCTGGATACAATAAAAGTTGTATGGGATAGACTTGTTTGTGTAGTGAAGAAATAAGCCTTAGGTATAAAGATACATTGACTTAACAGTTGTAGTAGTAGTTATGACCTATATGTTGTTGTTTTTTTCAGTGTGCATGTTTAAAGATGTACTGTAACTTTTGTGCTTGTGTCAGTGGGGATGCTATTGCTGAAATGTTCCACAGTATGGCATTATGCTTAGCTATATTGCATTTGTTATATTAAGGGTGCTTCTCAACAATACCTTAAAAAAGGTAATTCTTACTGTAAATGAGCCACTCACACATTCATGTACTAGTGTACGCATATTCTGTCAGAAAAGTGTCTTGCCCAATGGCACAACAACAATGCAGTCATGGGAGCTGGGACTTTAAATGTTGATAATCATCAAGTAACACACACTTTTCACTGTGAAAAACAAAACATGTAATGGAGATAGGTCCATGTAATGCCATGGTTGCCTGATTTGTGGCCCTTGAGTCATTTGAGTAAAACACAATTAAAATGATTAGAGCCCAAGCACCAAATGTGCATGAGGGACAAGTCAGTGACATCCACTGCCAAAGTGTATTTAAGGAAAAATCTAACAGTAAACAATAACGTATAAACATAACTAGTATCCAAAATTACACACCCCGATCCAGGCCCTGTTGGACTTCATTGAGAAACACCAGGTGGAGGTACAGCTGAAGGCCAAAATGGTATGTTATGACAAAGTAAAAGCTGGAGTTCTGGAGGTGACTGTGTCTGTGGGCCACCAAAGAGGAGGCCTTAAACACAGCTATGAGAAGAGAACCACCAGAACAAGAGAGACTGTGGAGACAGAGGGGACAAGACTGAGAAGCAGAAGCAGCAGGAGGGGAAGCATCAAACTGTGTAGTTGCTCTGAGTAAGAACATAAGAAAACTCAAGAAAAGAAGTAACAAAGAGATATGAACCGATCAAGTGCTGGTCCAGAGGAGGAGGCAGAAGAGAGTGGAGATGACAATGCGTGCCTACCTGTTGAACAGCAACATTCTCCTACCTGGGGTAAGGCCCAAAATACTCAAAATACTCCCCAAGATAACTCCTTTCCCCATCATCTTCACCGCCAACCTTCTCCACCCCATCCAGATGTTTGACTGCAAACCTGGGGTCTATAGGCACTGGCACTTCACTTCCCGTCTGTACACTTTCAGGGTCCTCTTAATATTGCTTTGTGATACCAATAGGCCCTTCGCCAGCTTCGGGTGCTTGGGCCCAATAAAGACTGCATGTCAATAGGACATGTCATCATTCATTAAAATTACCCACATACAAAAATAACATATCTGATTGTTGTCTACTTCCTTGTGTCTCTGTTTACTTTTCTGGAAAATAATTTAAGCTATTACTATTTTTGGCGTTTTCTCTTTCTTACCTATGATTCAGATCTCAACTCGGTCTAGGTCCAACGATGATCAGTGTAGAAGAATGCAGAAGTGAACACCCAAAACCCTGACTGTCTCTTGAACTCTTAGACCTGAAAGTGTCAAAATCATCCATGCGTGTTAGGCTTTGTTTAATGTTTGTTGAAATGATTCATTGAAACATGAGTTGTTTTTGTTTGTGTAAGAGCTTTCTTTCCCTGGAATCTTTCACAGCAAGTTATGGCATTAAACTTATTTATCTGCATGGAGACAAGCAATTGATACCAAAAGGCCACACAGCAAGTGTATCTTGCCCTATTCAAGTGTAAAAACTGCACTTTTTGGACGTGTCATCATCAGCTGGGTGCACGTATGGAGCAGAGCATCAGACGCACAATCATCTCACAAAACTCTTACTTGGACATTATGTCACCAGTGACCTCTCAGATGACAGAGACATGTACAGGCAGCAGTGTAAGCTTTATGGCCAGGCCAATATGTTTGTCCGTAAGTTCTCCATGTGCTCCAGTGATGTCAAAATTTTACTTTTTAAACATTTCTGCTCACCCCTGTATACTGCACATCTTTGGCGCAACTACACGAAAAGAGAGTTCCATGCAGTTTGACAGTGGCCTGTAATGACTGTTTGAGAATATTACTGAAAGTGCCAAGGATCTGTAGCACCAGTGAAATGTTTGTAAATTGTGGTGTGAGACCCTGTTGTCACAATCAGATGTTGTATTTATTCATTTATGTGTAGAGCCATGAACCTAAGCAATCAAATCATTGAAGCTCTAGTGTGTCCTGTGAGGAGCTCTGTCAGATTCACCTCTAAGCTGTGGAGACACTGGCGATCTTGTCTGTATACATTATAACATGCACTGTATTTAAATTTTTTATTCCTACTATTTTCTTTTAAATACTATGAACCATATATTACGTGTTCTTAATAAAGGTTGAATTGAATTTAATTACTTGAGGACATATTTTGGCTCCTCTAGCCCTTGCTCTCTGTCAGACAGGATTTAACCGCTTTAACTCAAATAAAATAATAGAATTATTAGAGTAATTCATCAGTGAGTAAATGTATTTTCCCCATGAAGTAAATAACCATTCGTCTTAGTCAGCTCCAGCCTGTTGTTTGTCTGCTCACACTTCGTGGCCCTCTCGGTGTGCTTACAGTACGGCTCGGCGGCGGAACATTCCTGCTCTTCCTGGTTTTGTTTGGAGTGACCACAGCGACTGGGGGGGTACACAGACACTACCCCCTCCTCCTCCCCCCTCCTGCCCCTGCCTTCTGATACCACCATGTCCAGTCTAGTCTAGCCGTAACCAAACAGCAGGAAGGAAACAAGGGACCAGAGTCCAGAGGTATAACTGTCCATATAGATTGAGATGGGGTACATTCCTGAATGGCCCCTGTGCGTGTGCAGTTCAGAGGTGGCTCTCATTAGGGGCCACAGCACGTCGTACATCACTACAGTTTATGTGCGTCTCATGTATACATACACTGAGAGGGCCCTGGGGACTAATACATCACGTGGAATTGAGTCCGGCCACCAGACTGGCTTTCCTATGTGGTAAACACAAGCTACAAAGGG